AAGTACTACTAGGTAAAGCACAAGCTGACTTACTCCATCGCCTAGTTGCTTTGAGTCTTTCCTGAAAGGAAAGAAACAAGTTGAGAACATAACCATCACAGAGGGCTACATTCTGCAAACTATTATTACCTCACAGGAATAAATCTCCACTGGTTACAAACACTGTTCATAACCACTGCTAATATTTAGTCACAAAGTCACAATAGTCACAAAGTTGACTCAACTGTCTGAGTTGAATGTCAAAATTGCTTCCCTACCCACCCCTAGTATTAGTGCTTCCTAGTTTTTCTATGGTCTTCTTTCTTTTTCCTGGTTATTGATTGGTTTAACAAACATTATGTTTGCTGTGAGTGATGAACAACAAGCTTAAAGCAGCATCCCAAAGCAGTACTTTCAACTGCCAATCAATTAAAATCTTCTGCAAACTTTAAAATGTACCTGTCATCCGCAATAATAATGAACTGCTTTGCACAAGATGCTACAATTTTCTCTTGGGTTAAACAGCCTCTGAACAAAGACAGATTAAGAAAGATTTGCAATTAAAAAACTCATCATGATAAAGCAAATACATGTAAGGCAGAAACATGCATGTTATGCATAAAGTGCAAGAGAAAAATAACATTTCAAAAAATGGTGTACCCTCCTCCTTTGATTGCAGTTAGGTCAGAATCCACATCATCAGCCCCATCAATAGCAACATCTAGCTGAAAATAAAACAAAGCCCATGTGATCTCAAAAAAATATTGCTCTTCATTCTACTTAAAAGTTATAGTCATTATCTTGAATTTGATAATCTATCCTCTGACAAAATCTTGTGGACTTGGACTGAGATTAAAACTCAACTAAATAATAATTATTACTACCTTTATAAGTACCATGTACCTGTAGGCTGACAGAGCACTAGTACAGCTCATAGTCTAGCCTTCACACACTCTGCATGCCTACAATATTCAATAAATTATTGACTTCCCTATGCTGTTATTTCAGATGTTCCATCTTACCTCAGGTTGTCTGTCAAGATCAGTGAGAATCAATTTGTGTTGTGTGATTAGCTGTTGGGCCTACATGACAATGATCGAAACACATGAAATTGAATGAATCATGCCAGTGGCAAAATGTACAGAAGATAAGGGGACTGATGACTTATTTTGTATATTTATAATTATCATCATGACTTGATACTACCTGTAAGGTAATTTGTTTCAGTTATATTTACAACAAAATCTTTGTTTTGAACGAGTCATTTTAATTTTAGTATACATGTTCACATTTAAACGAGCCCCAGGCTCACTGGTGAAATGTGTCTAAATAAAGTACTTACTTACTTACTTACTTACTATGTACAATAATAACGGAATGGTGTAAAATAATTTATGTTAATTTATACATTAATTTATTATAATTGTAATAATTGTGTTCTAATTCAAAATAAATATGCATCAGCATGTGAACAAAATTCAGTACTACATGTAGTTAC